AAGAGACAGTGTATACTGTATATGTATATATGTATGTATATATGTATGTATATATGTATACAGTATATGTATACATATATTTTTATATATGTATATATATTTTTTCATTTTCAAACGAGTTTTCATTACGAGTTCCTTTTTAAAGTTGAGCAACCAGATGTTGTTTGACGTCTGTACATACGTGCATCTGTAAAAATATTCTTGAAACTTACCCTCGAGCATGGCGAAAAAAGAATGGAATCGCCCGCCTTGAGTGAATTCCGTATTTATCCAAGAGGTAGGCACTCTTTATGGAGCGACACTCTAGTTCTCTTTATGTTAACCAAGAAAATGTATGTGTAACTGATTGGCTTACAGTAAACCTTTAAATTAGCATAATAGAACCACATGTAAAATCCATCTAATTTAACGAAAACAATAAGATATTTAATTAGGCCATTTATTAAAATAAATTTGTCTGCAGGTTAACTACAGAACTCATAGTACACTGTAGTTAATGTGTTATAGGTTGTAAAAATTGTGTTGAATAAAAAAAAACATTCGAATAAAAAAAATCTTTCGCTTAACATTAGGAATTAGTAATTGTGAAACAAAATTATAGGCTATGTCAGCAGCTTAGTTAAGTTCAATCTGCTAATCTGGTGGTAGCCACTGTGTGTGCGCTGAAACGTGGGGATCTCTAGGTCCCCGGTTCATTTCCCATCACCTCTCTGTGATTCAGCTCGAGGGCTGAAATACATGTTACAAAAGTGCATCGTCTTTCGGATGAGACGTTTAAGCCGTTGGTCCCGTGTGCATTTATGGCCCATGTGCACGTTAAAGAACGCAGTACACTCTTCGGAAGAGCAGGGGTTGTCTCCCATGTACTGCCCAATCACCGCCAGAAGTGATTTGATTTTAGTGGGCTATTATTGGTGTTTACACCGAATAAATCCAATCCAATCCAGTCAAGTGTTATATTGAACAGTGGCGGATTCAAGGAGGAGCCCAGTCAACACGGACCCCCAACCTCCTATGTTTTTTTTTTCAAAATTATTAGAAAAAAATAGACAAAATTGGTTTCAACTTTTAATCTGCAAGTGCCATTTCTGGCCATCTAAGGGTGCCATAATCATATGTTTTTTCTTACCGCAGCCACTACCGTTGTGGGGCTGAGGTGGGTGGACACTCTTTTTGCTGCGCAAGACCCGCAACAATTGGAGTATCATTTCCAGGATATGAAGGATAATTTTCATCCATCAGGGGAAAAGTGAAGGTTTCGTCGGGGAATATCATCAAGCCTCATGATAAATAATTCATTGAGATCGTGGATGTATTAATCTCGACTTCGGCTTTGTTCGAAAATCAATAGCGGATTCAAGGGTGGGGCCTAAATTGTTCAATTTTTTTTAATGAACATTATAAGAAAATTATATTCAAATTTTAAGTCTGAGAGTTCAATTTCCGGCCATCTAGATGTCACGCAATAATCACAAATTTTCTTACCTCAGCCCTAAACATGGTGGGGCTGGGGTGGTGTAGTTCCTCCATCTGCTAAAGTGCCAAAATTGTTAAAAACGAAAGATCAACTGATTAATCTCAGATAACATAGTATAATACATACTCCAAGTATCGAAATGCAAGCCATCGTGTCGGGATTCAATACTTCGACATTAATTACCGGTATGTCATATCATCAGGAATTGTTTATATATATGTATATATATATATATATATTGTATAAGTCTGAGAGTTCAATTTCCGGCCATCTAGATGTCACGCAATAATCACAAATTTTCTTACCTCAGCCCTAAACATGGTGGGGCTGGGGTGGTGTAGTTCCTCCATCTGCTAAAGTGCCAAAATTGTTAAAAACGAAAGATCAACTGATTAATCTCAGATAGGATAGTATAATACATACTCCAAGTATCGAAATGTAAGCCATCGTGTCGGGATTCAATACCGGTACTTCGACATTAATTACCGGTATGTCATATCATCTTATGGCCATGATGTGATGTCATTATGTCCATTATTTATGCATGTGATAGTGTAGTCTGTGTACAAATTTTATTACCTCAGCCCCAACCATGGTGGGCTGAGGTGGTATAGATACTCCATCTGCGAAAGTACCCTGAGGGCTTAAATTGTTGTTTTTTTTTTAATGGAGATATAAGAAAATTATATTCAAAGTCCGAGTGAAATTTACATTGCTATTTTTTTAAATGGGGGATATAAATAAAATTATATTCAAATTTTATGTCTGGAAGTGCAATTTCCTGCCATCTAGAGGTGCCGTTATCACAAATTTTCTGACCTCAGCCCCAACCATCGTGGGGCTGAGGTGCACATCCTTCATCTGTGAAAGTGCCCCCGCCCCGCTCCTTGGCCCTCTTCAATTCTTAGATCAGTCACTGGAAATTAAAACAATTATGAAGTCATATTACAGTAGCTTGATGCCTATAAAATAACCAATGAACTTCACCACGCTTCGTCAAATATCCATAGCTTCCAGGGGGCTTCGCCCCTGACCCCCACCGGGGGCCCTTGGCGCCCCCAGCCTAGGTGATCGATTTGCTCTCATACTGGACCTTATGAAATGTCACCCCCTCCTCCCACCACTTTCAAAAAACGTTCCACCGCCGTTGTTTACTTATCATTTCAAAATTAGACAATTGTATTTTCCTATATTTGTGTTTGTCTCTTGGATGCACCGTACATTTTCTATGAGTACCATTGTATCAAAAGTGAATCCAATAAATTAATCGGTTGGATTGAACTGATCTAAAACTGAGTTAAACTCTGCCAAGATTACCGGTATTTAATTTTCTTTGAAAAGAAACTGTTGTATGCGAGCCCATATCTAGTAGTGGTGTGCCTATTATGGCCATGATGTGATGTCATTATGTCCATTATTTATGCATGTGATAGTGTAGTCTGTGGACAGGTGTTTTTAGCCTCCCAGATGAGTATAACAAGCATATGGACTGTGTTTTTGTCTCCTCTGCAATAAAATCTATCAAGAAAAACTAAAGAAATTTTCTGTTTATAAGATGTTCCAGAATGTATAGATGGATATGATGCTAGGACAATCTTATTACAGGACTGACGTTGACTCTATTTAAAAACACCCAACTTTTAAACAAATAATACAATGTGCATTATCATGTTTAATTTAATTCCGAGAACACGAGTACTAATGAATATTTTCAATAAGTGTAAGTAATTTATTTGAATTTGTGTTAACTGTCAATGGCACACTTTATTGTTATGAAGGTGTGTAAAAAAGT